AACTTGTGACTTGCTTTCCATCTGTCTCCATCTCTCACTGATCAAATTGAATACTACTACTAATAATAAATAAAATTAAATAAACAATCTTTTAGAATTATTTTAACTTTATTTATCCATTTTATTTATTTATTCTTAATTTGATCAGAGAGAGAGAAAGTGAGAAGCCAAGCAGCCAGGCCCAGGACTCAAACTGTGGTCAGCCATGAGGGAGTCCAACACCCTTAACCCCCATGCAACCAGCTGGCCCCTAAATAAACAATTCTTAAAATAATAATCAACGGGGACCAGCAGGTGGCATAGGGGCTAAGGTGCTGGACACGCCCACATGGCCAACCACGGTTCAAGTCCTGGACCTGGTGGCTTGCTTTCTCAGTTTCCTTCTTTCTCTCTCTCTGTGACTCTCTCTGGTCGAATTAAAAAAAATCAATGAATCAATAAAAATAAATAAATAAATAAATAACAGTCAAAGGGGGACATTTCACCAAAGAAGAACTATCTAATAAGCAAGCAAATGAAAAGAAACTCACATTATTAGCCATTAGGGAAATGCAAGAATACTTTAAACCTTCTCTTCTGGCTATAATAATAGTAGTCATAATAATTTTTAAAAATCAAAAACTGAGGTCAACAGGTGACACAGTAGTTAAGGTGCTAGACTCCCATGAGGCCAACCATGGTTCAAGTCCTGGACCTGGTGGCTTTAAACTCACGTGGGGCACATGTGTGTGCATGCCCCAACTCTTGAGAGGAGAATGGAGAAGAAGAGATTATAGTGTGGCCATCTTTCCTGGGGGTGATTTCTCACTTTTTGTCTCTCTCTGTCTCTCCAGTGAGTGCATGTGCCCTATAGCAAAAAATCTCTCTCAAAAAAAAGCAGGAAAAAATGACAGGTGCTGGCCCAGTAGCACAGTGTCCTGCAAAGTCGGGGCATTTTGTATGAAAGGAGTCAAACATTACGTGGCTTTTTGTTCTGCTCTTTCATTCGGCATGTGCTGCAAGGTCCCACCAAGCTGTAACGGGCATCACTGCTACATCCCTTTTGACTGCTTGGTAACATTCCATTATGCATACAGACCACATTTAGTTGACCCAGTCAGTTGGCGGACATATGAGCTGCTAAATTTTTACTCTGGGGCTATAATGGATAATGCTGTCAGGAACCTCTTTGCACAAGTGTTTGTGTATGTACTCAATCCTCTGCACAGGCCTAAAGTGGAATTCCTGGCTCCTGCGTAACTCTGTGTTCAACCGTCTGAGTAACTGCCAGGCCACTTCCCAAAGTGGCTGTACCGTCTTCTATGTCTACCACACTGTGTGAGGGTGGGGCCCTCTGCAAGTCAGAAGAGAGCCCTTGCCAAATTACCACACCTTGATCTTGGACTTCAGAGCCTACAGAACATTTTTTAAAAAGAAATTCGTTATTGGGGAACCAGCAGGTAGCGTAATGGCTATGTCGCTGGACTCCCACGTAGTCGACCGTGGTTCGCATCCCGGACCCGGTGGCTTAAAACTCACGCCGGGCACGTGTGCGTGTGTGCCCAAGATCCCGAGAGGAGAATGGAGGAGAAGGGATTGTGACGTGACCATCCCCCTGGGGGGTGATTTCTCGCTTTCTATCTCTATGTCTCTCTCTGTCTTTCTGGCAAGCGCACGCGCCCTATAGCGAAAACCTCTCCAAAAAAAAAAAAAAAAAAAAGAAATTCGTTATTTATTTCATTCCATTTGTTATTGTTATTTTTTAATTTGACCAGAGAGAAAGAAAGAGACAGGGAGAAAGCAAGACACCAGGTCCGGGACTCGAACCGTGGTCGGCCACGTGGTAATCCAGTCCCGTTAACCGCCATGCTACCCACCAGCCCCAGAGCCTACAGAACTTTAAAGAATAAATTTCTGGGGGCAAGCAGGTGGTGTAATGGCTATAGCACTGAACTCCCACATGGTAAACCGTGGTTTGAATCCCAGACACACAGCTTGAAAAATCACTCTGGGCACACGTGCATGCATACCCAAATCCTGAGAAGAGGCTGGAGGAGAAGGGACTGTGGCGTGGACCTCCCCCCACCCGGAGATGATTTCTACCTGTTCTCTCTCTGATGAGCGCATGTGCCCTGTAGCAAATTAAAAAATGGGACCAGCAGATGGCATAATGGTTATGTTGCTGGGCTCCCACGTAGCCCACCACAGTTTGAGTCCCAGACCTGGCAACTTAAAACTAAAGCTGGGTGCATGTATGTGCATGCCCAAAATCCTGAGAGGAGAATGGAGAAGGGATTGAGGTGTAGCCATCTCCCCCAGCAGTGATTTCTTGCTGTCTCTCTGTTTCTCTCTGTCTCTCCAATGAGCGTACACACTCTATAACAAAAATCTCTCTAAAAACAAAACAAAAAAATAGCTATTCCTACATCTGACCTCTCTAACCTCTGCCTGTTAAAAGATACTATCTCTAGCTTTGTCTTCATTTGTTCTATAAAGTATCCAAGCTGAGGTTTATTCTGTAACTAAACTTTATTAGAGTTAACATACATCTAGGGTTGACCTTTATAACTAGCTTTCTTTTTTAAAAAAGAATTATTTTAATTTTATTCATTCATTTATTTTAATTTGACCAGAGACAGACAGAGAGAGAGAGAGGGAAAGTGAACTGTGGTCAGCCATGTGGGAGTGTCCAGCGCCTTAACTACCACGCCACCTGCTGGTCCCTATAACTAGCTTTCTTATCCTGCAGACGCCTATTCTACCAGCAGCGATGACCCTTCTCACCTAAACCCTCACTCTTCCCCGACTGGTCGGAGACCTTATTCCCAGTCATCCTTCCTTTCTATGACTTGCTATCTTCTATTTTCTTATTTTCATGATCTTTTTATCACCCGTGTCCCGTCTCACTGCTGCTTAGTTTTCTATACCTACCAGGCTTATTATTCCCAGGTCCTTACCCTGACATAAATGTTACATTTGACTGGAGCCCAGAATCCCAATTACATGCTGTGTATTGCTATGATGTGCTAAGATATTTAGGGACCAGCAGTTGGCGTAATGGCTATGTTGCTGAACTCCCATGTAGCCGACTGCAGTTCAAGTTCCAGACCCAGTGGCTTAAACTCACACCAAGTGCGTGTACATGCGTGCCCAAAATCCTGAGAGGAGAATGGAGGAGAAGGAACTGTGGCATGGCCATCCCCCCTTAGGGATGATTTCTCACTTTCTGTCTCTCTCTGTCTTTCTGGTGAGCGCACGTGCCCTATAACAACAACAACAACAACAAAAGATACTGATCCCCTCAGCCCTTGGGGCAGCCAGTGTGGCCTGGCAGCAGCAGAGCCTGGGAGGCTTACCCTGGGCCTTACGGGGCACTTTCTTTTACTCTAGAGCACCCTGGAAATGTGATTTTCTATGTGAGCCATTATGTAAGAAAGAAAACTGAGAAGCATCATGGCTTAGAGTATTTCTTAAATAGCTTCGTGAAATATATTTAAATGCAGTAATTTCTATGGACTGTTAATATTAGAGGACACTTTCATCCTGTAACTCAGCTTTCCGGAGGCTTCTCCCGGGTGCATTCCCGCCTTAGAAGCTGATGTTTCCCCCTTGTCTGTGTACACTGTAGGGCATACATTTCGTCCTATTTTTCATTATTAGAGTAGAAAATCTCAAACGTATACAGAGGAAGAAAGGAAGGGAAGATGGAACTCACAGAGCTATTACCTAGCTTAAACAACTAATCAACTTTGAGAGAAAACACCATTTTTCAAGTTTTTTTTTTTTTAAGAATTATTTTACTTAACTTTATTTATTTATTTAATTTGACCAGAGAGGGACAGAGCGAGGGAGGGAAAGTGAAAAAGCAAGCTGCCAGGTCTGGGACTTGAACTGTCATTGGCTATGTGGGAGTCCAACACCCTTAACCACCGTGCCACCTGCCAGCCCCGAAAACACCATTCTATCTATGACGATACCTATTTTGCCCTCCTTCCCTGGGTGGATTAACTTGAAGTCAGTTCTGTTTTATTTCACTGACAATGATTTCAGCGTGCATCTCTGCATATAAAAAGACAGTGCTGAAAGACACATATTGAAAGACACTGCTAGTTCCTGAATAAATTCCTGTACTAACAGGTCAGATTTCTGATATAAGCAATCCTCTAGTTTGCCATATATTACTTTTTTTACTCCCTACTGTACTTCTTTAATAAGTTAAACCACTCCAAAGTAGAACTGCCAAACAAAAATATCAAGAAAAATGCGGTTTGAGTAGTTTCAATAATAGAAAAAAGATGGAAAGAAATCACACACATAAACCTTCCACTCTGGGCCAGCGGGTGGTGCGGTGGTTACAGTGGCTGGCTCCCACAGGACAGAATGCACGGTCTGAATCTCCACCTGGGGGCTCGAGAAACACATCAGGCACATGTGTGCCCAAAATTCCAACTAGAAGGGCAGACGGAGAACAGATGGCAGCGTGGCCATTCCCCAGGGGAGTGATTTCTCATTTTCCCCTTCCCGCCCTCGCCCCTCCCACCCCCTCTGCAAGCACACATGCTCTGTGGCAAAAATTTTTTTAAGTTTTTTTTTTTTTTTTTTTTTTTTTAAACTTTTCTTTTCCGGGCCCAGGAAGGCACAAGGTGTTTTTAAACTTCCACTTCCTGGAGCCAGCAGGTAGCATGGTGGTTGGGGGTTCTAGATTACCACACTGTTGACTGTGGTTCAAGTCCTGGACCTGGCAGCTTGCTTTCTCACTTTCCCTTTCTCTTTCTCTTGTTATTATTAAAAATAATAATAACAAACGGAATTAAAAAATAAATAATTCTTAAAAAAAAACCTTCCATTTCTCACTTCTCAGAGGTAACTGACTTCCATACAACACAAGTTATTTGGTATGTGACAGTATATTAATATTACATAATTATTATTATTTTACATAAAGTAACACTGCACACTTTATAAAAACAAATATAACAAAACCAGCTTTGTTCAGAACCTTTAAATTCAATGATCCTTACCTTTTGTTGGGCTGAGATTCTGATCTTTAAATCCTCTTAGTTCTGCATTTGTAGAAGTCAAACCAACCTGAACAAAATAGTTTCAAAAATTAAAAATTGAATCTTAAAAATTCTATGTGATCTTTTAAGTTATTTTATAACTTCTAACAGAGGTCTGTATCAGACATTATATACAACCGCATAAAAATTTAATTAATTACATCAACATAGCGTCACTAAAAAGAAAATATTGCCAAATTGACCAGATTAAGATAAAAATTAATAAAATAATTACTTATGACCAGAAACAAGATCTACAGGTTTTTTTTTTTTTTAAGAGATATTTTTGGTATAGGGCTCGTGCACTCGCCAGAAAGACAGAGGCAGAAAGACAGAAAGCGAGAAATCACCCCCTGGGGGATGGCCACGCTGCAATCCCTTCTCCATTTTCCTCTTGGGATCTTGGGCACACATGCACATAGTCCAGTGTGAGTTCTAAGGTGCCGGGTCCAGGACTCGAACTATGGCCAACTACATGGGAGACCAGTGATGTAACTGTTATACCATCTGCTGATCCCAAGATCAACAGGTTTTACTGACGGTTTTTTGAAAGCAAGTAATGTAATAGCCACGAATATATCAAATATGCCAAAAAATACAGCAAAACCCACCCCCAGAGCTGCCCTTAGTTTGTACTGTTGTCCAACCCTTCCAACACGGTGACTCGCAGGGATTCCCAATGCAGAAGGGAAGTGCGTGGCTCGCATCTAATTGCGGTGCATGTTCTGACTTGGCAAGCCTCGGAGGGGCGCGGCCTTGCAATTTCCTCACCTGTAAATTGGAGGGCGACACCAGCATGCACCAATCCAGACTGTTAGAAGATCGCATGTGAGAACCCATGCAGAGCACGCGTAACAACAGCTGGCACGGGCTGCTCCTCCCTAGCCCTCATCTCTGCAGGGTCACATCACACGTGAAGGACTACCCGCAGCAGGTGCGTCTGTAAGTTCACCTCTGGATGATGTATTTCATTTACGGTGACGTGCACAAAACCACATGGCCTCACAGAGCTGACTACGGTGGCTCGCCAATGATTTGGTTTCGTTTGTTTAGAATTCTTTATTTATTTATTATTATTATTTTGGAGAGGTTTTTGCTATAGGGCATGTGTGCTCACCAGGAAGACAGAGAGAGACAGAGAGATAGAAAGCGAGAAATCATCCCCCAGGGGAGATGGCCACGCCGCAATCCCTTCTCCTCCATTCTCCTCTCGGGATCTTGGGCACGCACGCATATGTGCCTGGTGTTGAGCTTAAGCCACTGGATCCAGGACTTGAATCACGGTTGACCACGTGAGAGTCCAGCGACACAGCCATTACACCAACTGTTGGTCCTTATTATTATTATTTTACATTTTTATTTATTTATTTATTTTCATTTCATTTTCTTCCATGCATTCAATCACATTATTACATTTTAATTTGGCCAATTGTGTGTGTGTGTGTGTGGGGGGGGGAGGGCGGCGGGGAAGGCCCAGGGCCTTAATCACCCTCCACCTGCTGGCCCCACTTCATCAGCGTTTCTAAAATTTATTGCAGAACATGGCGGGGAAAAGGCCTCTGTTTCTGAAAACTGGGAACAAATCAAACATTCATTGAGAGACTCTATTACCACTGCTACGGCTATTGTTTTGGTTTTTTTTTTTTTTTTTTTTTTTTTTGAGAGAGAGATTTTCACTGTAGGGCGCGTGCGCTCGCCAGACAGACAGAGAGAGACATAGAGACAGAAAGCGAGAAATCACCCCCCAGGGGGGATGGCCACGCCGCAATCCCTTCTCCTCCATTCTCCTCTCGGGATCTTGGGCACGCACGCACACGTGCCCGGCGTGAGTTTTAAGCCACCGGGTCCGGGACACGAACCGCGGTCGACTACGTGGGAGTCCAGCGACATAGCCATTACGCTAACTGCTGGTTCCCAACGGCTATTGTTTTAAACATGGAAGATTTGTCATCTCGAAACATTACAGGTTTGTAACATTACACAAACTTCTAACACTGGAAGTGTGAAGTCTGGGATCTCAAACACTCAAAGAGTTTTGTTTCTGGAAACATCTTTATTGAAGTATTATGGACATATAAAGATGCACATATTTACGGTGTGAAACCCAGTGTTCGGAGATACACAGGCGCGTTCTAAAATGATCGCTGTGATGAAGCTAACTGACATATCCATAACTATATCACTTTGCATGCGTGTGTTGAAAAGATTCATTTTAAAACTAATCCTCTCAGCAACTTTGGAATATAAAATGCAGTACTGGTAGCCACTGACAGAAGGCCGTATGTTAGTTAGATCATCAGTATTTGAATGGAGTTAAACTACTTACTGCGTTAACTGTATATACTCTTCATAAATACCCATTTGATGCATTACAATTTTGACATGTAAGAGCTAATCATTTCATTATTTGGTAATGCTCGAATAGCTGTTTCTTTTTGTCAAATTACATTAGAATTTTTTCTACATATTCATATTATAGACTAATTCTGATACAAATCTCTCTCTGACATCTAATATCAAATTTGTCTGACAGCAGCTAATACTAAGACATCTAGGAAACAGCTTGTTAAGTCTACGTATATAATGGCTCAGATACTTTGTCTAGCGTCTTGTAATACTCGGTTTGACTAAGTTAACCCTTTGCAACAAACTTTGCAGCAAATAATCACATTGTGACTCTTCAGAGCTGCTCACAAATATTAATGTTAAATATTCCATTTGTGTTGAATGTTTACTGTGGTGTTACTGACATAGCCCCCTCCCTCTTAAACTCTTCTATTAAAAGAAAGACAGAACTCCAGGCTCGACAGGACATGATCATTTAATACGTGCACTATAATAACTTCAAAAGGATCCGTTTATACCTTTCTGTTATTATACAGTAACGGCAGAAACCTCAATCCAAACCACGTATTCACAGACATGCTCAGTTACTAGGTTACTGTTACGCTGAAACACCTGCTCCTAAAGTCCAGCTTCTGCAGAGCGAGGCAGAAAACGAATTCGGAAACTTTTTAAGCAGCTGTACACCTGCGCCCTAACGACCAACAAATTATACTCTTAAAAGATAAAAGCCAACTGTGAGTCAATACTGTACACTAATTTAGGTCTCAGATGGAGGGAGGTGCCTGTTTTAAAGCTTATATAAATACTACCAAAATCTTTATAATTAAAACTTCCAAATATGTATTACTTTCTACTTTCATAAACACTGTAGTGTAAAGGCTTAAAGAAAAAGTACATTATTTGAGAGTAGAAAAAGTTGGCTAGGAAAGGCATTTAAAAATATTCATCTTTTCTTGGACTGGCAGGTGGCGTGATGGTTAAGGGCACTGGACTCCCACATGGTCAACTGAGGTTCTAGTCCTGGACCTGGCAGCTTGATTTCTCACCTTCCCCTCTCTCTTTTTTTCTCTCTCTATCGCTCTATCCATCTCTGGTCGAATTAAAAATAAAGCTAAATAAAATAGTTATTTAAAAAATATATTAGTCAAAAGTCTACCCACTTTTATTAAAAAGGACCTATGTTTCACTGTGTAAGAGAAAAAAGTAAACTTGCATTTCATGCTAAATTTTTTGCCAATCAGGTCCTGAGTCTTTTTTCTAGGCATTCATTTTCTTTTAATTTTTTAAAATAAACTTTATTGTGCATATTTAAGGTATACAATACAATGTTAAGAAATATATGAAGTGATTACTATGGAGGAATAATAATACATGGCTATTCCAATGCTGTGTTACGAATCCTAAGCAGTCACTAAACGTCTGTTGAATAAAAAAAAAATCTAAGACTAGTTTTTAAGAATCAGTTTTTAAGAATCAAATCACAGGGGCCAGAGGGTGGCGTGGTGGTTGGGGCACTGGACTCCCACATGATCAACCATGGTTCGAGTCCCAGACCTGGCGACTGGCCAGAATCCTAGGAGAATGGAGGAGAAGGGATTGCAGCATGGCTGTCCCTTGGGGGGTGGGGGGGTGATTTCATTCTCTCTCTCTGCTGGACACACGTGCCCTGTAGCAAAAATCTAAAAATAAAAAAGTATCAAGTCATATTTCCCAGAAATACTATAAATTCATTGATGTTTAACATTTCTGACTGACATAACTGAAATAAAACGGGATTCAAAGTGAGACACCTGTGCTTAAAGCAAGGTCCCCTCCACAGGCCAGGCAACCTTAGAACAGCCGCTGCAAAGAGGGCAGTACCTACGTGTATGACAAGCTCACAACTCCGCAGACCAAATGAAATGATTACGGGACTACGTTGGTCAGTAGTAACGTAATAGTCAAATGTGGGTTGTTACTCAAATAGCAATGGCTTCCAACACTCCAACCCTGACGCAGACAATTTACAGAAGAAAATGAAAGTGATCAACAAGCATTTGGAATACTAGTTTAACTCACCAACCAGTAATCAGAAAAATATAACAAACAACACACCACTCTTTGCTGATTAGACTGCAAAGATTAAAAACAAAAGGAGAGGAGCCAGCAGATGGCATAGTGGTTACATCAATGGACTCCCACATGGCTGACTGTGGTTCGAGTCCCAGACCCAGAGGTTTGCTTTCTCACTTTCCCTCTCTCTGTCTCTGGTCAAACTAATAATAATAATAATGATAATGATAATGAATAAAATTAAATAATTAAAATAAAATTAAATAATTCTTTAAAAATAAAAATGATACTGCAAAGATATCAAGACAAGAAAAAACATTTATCACAGAGATTAAGCTAAAGAGTAGGCTAAAAACAGTATGATTTCATTTTCATAAAAATGTACCATGTCTACATTATTTGTCTACATATGCATATGCGCTTGGGTACATTACCAGATGTTTCCCTAGCAACAATTGTGTTCATAATCACTTGGCTTTCTCATTTCTTTTCTTTATCTGTACTTCCTAGTTTTTTTTTTTTGTAATGAATATTACAGCTCATGTTTTTATTTTCTTTTTTTCAATTTGTCAGAGGGCACGTGTTTAGAGATAAAGTGAAAAAGCACCCTTCACAGGGCATATGGTCACA